CCCCAAAACCCCAAAACCCCAAAACCCCAAAACCCCACCTGGTAGATTACTTAAAATATTACTAAATACTCTTATCTTTTAAAATATAATTTTTAAAGTCATTTTGTTTATTTATTGTAAGAAGTTCTAATTAATACGGTCGTTATAATCGCTGTTGTACATAATATTATCATTACATACATGGGTATTAATCTATTATGCAATTCTGCTAATTATGGAGCCAATAATGTGAGTAATCTACTAACGAAATTACAAATACCATAACTTGAGGTTAAAAGCTATGTTGGAAATAAATCTACATTAAATGAAAACAAAGCACAGCAACTCATGCTTAAAGCAGCTTTAAGTATCAGAAAAGTAAAAGCAAACACATACTAATTTAGATTATGTACACCTGTCATAATAAGTACTGTTCCTAAACTTGCAGTAAAGCTTACTATTAAGCTAATCTTAGTATTTGAGATGGATGCAACTGGATCTGCAACTAGATAACCAAATATTGATAATGATGCTACGAGCTGATTGACATATATGTTCCCAGGTAAATACTTAACAAAAAAATCTAGTAAATAGTATATGAATGTAGAAGTACTCCACCCTACACTGATAAGTATTAAGTTGTACACTGCATTTTAAGTATTAAAAAGTATACTTAATAAGCTCTTATTTGAATTTTATTTCTAAGAAAGCATTATTTTTTAATCGATGATATCCTCATTTACCTTTTTCTATAATGCATTTTCATTTTTTTGAATAATTATCTGTTAATCTTCGTATGATTAAAGCTCAATCATAACATTCCTCTAGATATCCTCTGGAGTATTATTTGAATTCATGATATTTCTGATGTCCTCATTTAATTATGAAAAGTTGTTCTTAATAAGGTTAAATTTGAGAGACTCAGGTAACTTCAAGAATGTGTGCGAGATGAAAATAGTGACTATACTTAAAATTAGGCAAATATATACAAAAATCTATGTGTTTCTAGTAATGAAATAAAGTATGAGAGGAGATACTGTGAAGACTGCTCCATCAACAAAGAAAAATAAACCGCTCACAAATCTTGTCTTAAGCCCCATAAATTCCATAATGTGGGTATAAAATATAAACTATTTCAGTCCTATACAAACACCATTTAGAAATAAGGCGACATAATAAATATGGTTGTTTCTGAAAATCAAAAGTATTAGCATAACTAGAATAGTAAGCCACATAGAAACATAAGAAAAGTATTTTCTTCCATAAGTATCAGCTAGAGGTGGGAATATCAAGGCAGCCAAAGAGGTTCCAATGAATTCCATTGAACCAAATAGTCCAATTAAGTATCCTTCACTACAATGCATTTGAAGCCTGTCTATCCAATTATCTATACTCAGCACATTCTAATAATCAACGTACCAAAGATTTCCTCTTTATTGCTAATTCAATTTCTGGCAAATATATTCATTTTCACAATTCTCATATAGGTTAGTTGTCTAATTTAGGCATTTATATTGAGGTAGAATAAGTAGGTATGAATAGTTGTAGCAAATGAAAGAGTTTGTAATAAAATTTGCTAAAAATAGGAGAGCCAGAAATATATGATATCTACCGAATGGTATCATATCAATAATTTGCTGAGGCTCAAGCACTTTTGATTCCTAATTAAAATTTTCTATAAACTTATCATCGAACATTTTTTCTTCTGAAATCAAATTTTGATTTAAACTTTGTAATTCCAAACTATTCTCGTTCTTGAATTTTCTTTGAACACTCTATTCTGAATCGATGATTTCCAATTTTTCCATTTTAATATAAATAATAAATAATATTAAACTTTTAAATTTAGAAAATGAATTAAAATTTTTTTCATTAACTCAAAGGCTTATAATCCTAATGAATTTTATAGAAATCAATGCATAAGTCAATGACAATTTAATCTCAAATGTCATTTTTAAATTGGAGATTATGGTTTGACGTTAACTCCATTTATATTAACGTTCACAGTTACGTTTTATCCATGTACTTAGTTATGTGTATGCATTTAAAATTGATTTTGCTACTGACCAAAAGCTCTATTTTAATTATTGAATGTAGGAGCATTCAACTATTAAGATTGGTATTAATTTTGAATTTGAATTTGAGAAGGAGGTCTAAATTAATAAGCTGGGTGCATCATTGGTTGTTAGTTATTATAACCCTAATTGAAGCTTATAGGTTAATCATTTTTATAAACCTTATCATTATAGTTATTCTATGGAATCATATTCATTTATGGGCTTTGTTAGAAGTTACTTAGCTTGGAAAACGTTGCTGTTGATCCTGTGACTTAGACAGAAACATTAGTAGAGATTGGTTTTGATAATGGCTACTAATTTTGCTGAACGTATTTATTCTGATTTTATACTGATTGTGGCTAACTCATTTCAATGTTATTTTTTAAGATTACTCCCTGATTTAATAGCATAAGCTTTTTCTATTCTATTATCTTCTAGTTTTGTTCAATTAGCTTTAGCATTAATTCAAGGCTCTAAGGTTTAATTTACTCAACTGGGGGTATCTCTTCATTAAAATTCAGTTTTTAAGCAGAGTTAGTTTTTTTCAAGGACTGAGCTAATAATGACCACTCTTCATCTCCATAGGTAGAAAGTAATTTTGAGTTTGATCTGTCATTAAAAAATGAATCATGAGATGATCTTGAAGTAGTTATGTCACTCTAAATATAATGGTTAAATGCCAAGTAATCTTACCCTGTCTTCATCGTCATACTATAGATTCGTTGAGGATTATATGTGATTACTTATTTGTTCTGATTAGTAATAAGATTTATCAAAATCCTTTTCCATTCCATCTTATCTACTTTGAATATTGGTTTTAATTTCACTCATCAAAGATTGTAGATGTTCAAGCTATTTAAATTGCTGATAATATTCGGGCTCTGATTAGCTTAAGCTACTTCTATTGTGCTCTTTGTTACTGACTAGTCTATTTACTTAGACTAAGAAATCTCTCAGTTTTCCCGCATCTCCTATTATTGAATCGAAGTAGTCAATTATTTGATCCATTCTAGTCCGATGATTTATTTTAATACTTTAATCTTTTACTGTATCAATTTTAAAACTTTAGACTTTAATCAATCTAACTATGTTCATGTATGGGGTTTTGGGGTTTTGGGGTTTTGGGG